GTTTTAGATCCAATAGTTTGAGCCTTGATCTGAAGAGATTAAGTGCTTAACTCAGAAATAAATTATGCTCTAGAAAGTGCGAACCGAGCACAGATAGGACACGATGAGAGTTTTGATGAGGCCTAGTAATTATTTTGTCATCATGTGATCACGAAGCGACAAGTAGATGGGTTGCAACGCGTTGACCATTGATCATTTGACTTGGAACTGTTAACCATTGAATTTTTGACCGGTTTGAATTCTGGTCAAACTTTGAGGGATTTAAGTTGTAGATGGAGGTTTAACCTCTAATTGTTATCTAGGTGGTTCATGGGACCGATTCTTACGAGTGCGTGAGTGTGCTTATGATCCTTCAGCTTTTCAATCTAGGTGAGTTATCTCACTATACTATGTGTTACAGTAGATATATCCTTTCCGTGATAGGATGTATAGGTATTGTAGTATGTATATTATGCAAGTATGCTAGTATAGTCTTTTGCATGTTTATTTCTTGATTGTATGATATGTTGATATATTATCTATTGATGACAGAATGACATTAGATCCGGGAGTCACCATTGATGACAGAACGGTACTGGAGTTGTGAGTCGTTGTTGATTAGGTGGACCGGTACCAGAGTCAAGATCCTTTGTTTGTAGGCATTGTATGTGTATTGCATTATGTGGCATTTTGAGGAACTCACTAAGCTTCGTCATTATATTTGTTGATTAAATGTTTTCAGGTTGTGCTATTGGCAGTGGGAAAGCTCTAACTTGACTATATCGCACGTGCATCGCTACTAATTATGTTATAGACATTCGTTGTTTCATGATAATTTTTGATACGTTATGATGATATGATATGATCATGTTTAAAACAATTTATTACTTCAACATTTATGAAAATGGTTTGGATGTTCAATTATGTTTTTAAAAGAAATTTTTGGTTTGAAATTTGGGAAGTTACAAATTTTAAAAGCTTTTTTTTTTATAAAATTAGCTAATTTACCTTCAGCTTTCTTATATAATTTGTTGACTTTAAACATATGTAAAATATTTTACCTTTATTATATTTATAAGAAAAATATCATATGATTATTGCAATTTTTTTAATAGTTGAATATGTATAAATAAAAACACTAGCAATTAACTAGTGAAAAAATGAAATTACATCAACGATTTTAGAATTGGATTTTGAAGCCATAAGTTCCAATTAGTATTGAACTTATGTTTCCTATAAACCACTCAACTAAAAGAAATAACAAAAATGTCATCAAACGTCCTATCCTTTTTGGTCTAGAATTATCAAACAAACACTTGTTCCCACATATTTATAAGGTTTATGCTTAAGAGACTTACATGATGTGGATTCTAATCAGGAATACGAGTGAGTCTTTACATGTTTGATTGGTGATAGTGAAGAAGATTGGAACATGATATACAGGTGTTAGTGTGGTCTTTGGTGAAGACTCGATTGAAGGAGCAGTGACTTTGATATATGTATTCAGAGTAGAGTATGGAGGTTGATCATGTAAGAGGGAATCAATATCATGTACGTGACTTAGAAGAACTTCACTACTATTATAGACATTAGAGCCACCTTGGATAGCTTCAAGTTATCAATGTCCTCTCAAAGCCGATATGTCATCATAGGGTAAGTCCTCCATATGGATGGAGTCTTCAATGTTAGTTAAATCCTTAGTACGAACAGGGAAATCAACATGATCTCCTTCATTCTCTTGAAAAATGTTTGCCTCTTTGTCATCCTCAACTTTATCATCAGGACTTAAGGATGATCAATTTACATTTTCATTTATTATGTGATTGGAGGATCATTTGGTTTAGAAGTGATTTGAAATATGGATGGATTAAGAATGTAGATTATAAGGGTAGGACCATCAATTGTATGGTAGTTTTCTACTCTTATGTGATTCTTAATTGCCAAAGTCATAAAACGGGTATACGGAACATGATTTGACTGTTTTTCTTCCAAGGCTAACACCATAATCAAATTAAACCAGAGACAAAAAAAATTAAGATTCATGTTTTTAACCATTACATAAAGAATGTGAAACTCGAACAAATTAAATTTTTCAAAACCCCATGTTTTATAATTGATACTTTTGGGTAGGATGATGTAACATTCGTAAGTAAGGGCTAGACGATTGAAATATAATAGTAATAATTATTATAATTAAAATCCTTGAATAGGATAATCGTTTGTCGAGCGTGTTGATGACTACATAATATAAGCCTTTTAGGAAAATTATCGACGAGCAATAAATTAACATTTTTTATAACAAATTATTTAGGATAAATAATATTTATGAAGTTATAGAATTCGCTATGGTGATTATGTATGTATAAGGAACGCTCCAATATGATTTTATATGAAGAAGTTATGCTTCTTCGAACTTTCGCGCTCAACCAACACAACTATGCATGTCATAAAATACGAATTGGAGATAAATCGCTTATTAGCCTACGTAATCTAAATGAAAATTTTAGTAATCCTAAAACCGAGAGCGTGCATATTGAGAACGCCTAAATCTAACTTCATATGAAGATGTTATGATTTTTCGAAGTTTCAGCACAACAGTGCGGACACAAAAATCGAAATTCAAATCGGATGATTGTTAGCTGAAACAATCTAAATGAGAGTTGAACATCTCGTGAATAGGATTTCGTCGATATCAAGACAGTCGAGAACGAAATTCATATGAAAGAGTTATGATTTTTATACGGACTTTAACAGTCTAATGCCTGTGAAAAATATAACTTTAAAAATAAAGTGAGAATTTGTAACGTCCCCAAAATAATAACATAAAATTTTCGTTTTTAGATTAATAAATCGTTAATACATAACATTTCCACCAAAACCAAGGTAATGAAGATTTATCAAAACATCATCAAATCAGAGTAAATCACAGAATGCGGAAACATGCGGTGTGTACTCTGCAATCATCCCGAGCTCTTCCATTTGAAAACCGAAGTACCGTAAACATAAACTGAAAATCGTAAGCACAAAGCTTAGTGAGTTCCCCAAGATACCACATAAAACACATACACAAATCACATACTGGGCCCCCGCTCTCGATCGGGCCTCGCCCGGTATCGAGTCCCACTCGGCTTCGGGCCCCGCTCGAATTGTAGATCTGTCAATCACCAGGCCCGCCTGACTAGGTGATGTGAATATCTGTTGGAATTAGTTTACACTAATGGACCGTTTAGATTAACCAATATACATTGGTAAGACTAACTTCATATCAACACGAGTATGGAACCTTTCAAATGTTCAGAGCTCTCATAAAGCGAAGCTAAGAATCAACCGGGCAATAAGATGACACTCATAGTGAGAATCTTAATCAAAAACTTTATCTATCATCTAAAGGAATTGTGAAAGAGTCTCACGAGCTAACTCTACCCGTAACACTTCCACAAGGAGTGTTAGTTGGATAGATATACAAATCATTGATTATTTTGTACTAGATGAGTCGAACTATGTTTACTAACAGTTCATGGATTGTACCAAGAATAGTGTTACGGGAAGTCCTTTGGTCCTGTACCAACAAAGGATGTTCATGAAACACTCTATGATATGTGAAGTGAGGTTCACACCCCACTAGCACACATGGAAGTCTACGATTATGATGCTTACACTCGTCGTGAAGCGCTTGACAATCTATGACTTAGAATAGAGATGTGTAGTCTAGTTGGACATCCCAACAAGCATTTTGGATGGTTTTTTAACGAAGCATCTGAGAACAAAGTGGATGTTACTCGAAAGGCAATCTTCCAAGAGAGTGAGTTGATATCCAAAAGGGATAGTGAGAGATATATTGATCTTCATAAGACTCGAGAGTCAACTGACAAAGAACCTAAATTTGAATCTAGCATTCAACTCGAGATTGAAAGAGTTGTAACTAATAAATATACCTAAATTAGAAAACTCTTGAGTTGTAGTGTGAGTTTCAAATGAATACGGTACTTGGAAGGTGAAAGGGTGTGGGGGTTTCAAATGCATGAGGTGTTGACCTTATAGAGTGTGTGATTTTCTTGGAATGAGATTATGTGTGATTGATTACTTTGAAGGTGAAAAAGTGTGGGAGTTTCAAATGCATGAGGTGTTGACAAATTTTTATGGGGGTTTCAAATGCATGAGATTTAAGAAAAAAATGCTAGCTTTATAAGTATGTATTATTATTATTATTATTATTATTATGTTTGTCTAAATAATTGGTTTTGATGCATCATTTTAATCCCTTCAATTATTAAACATAAATATATTTAATTATAAATTTATAACATACATAGTGCATATATATGTTAAACAAATCACATATAATATATATTGGAGACTGTGGAGGAATTTAAAGACTCTGGTGGTGGCATCAACAATTTGGTTTCATCATTTGTGAAAACTTTTCAGGCCAATTGCAATTTTAAGTGTTTTTATATGAATTGCTACTGATTACAAAAAAAAGTACGATTTGTTTGCTATGATGTAATGGATCACAAATAAATGGAATGAAATTCAACTTAGGAAAAATTGCATTTTGGTGTAAAGCTAAAAGTTTTACTACTTGTGAAGAATAGAGAAAACAGAAATCAATCTAAACACAATACAAAAAAAAAAAACAAAAAAACCTTCTCGAGGTGAAACCCGAACTTAGAGTTAATAAAAAATTTGAGAAACTAATCGAACAAAATTGGGTTATGATTCCTATCTCTTAATTCTCAAATAACAACAATTGAAAAATCCATTTCTCAATTGAGAAACTAATAGAACAAAATTGGTTAAAGAAACTTGGTAAGAAAACACAATCCGTTCATGGAAGAAAAACGGTTTATTTATCACATTTATTCCCTTTATAATCAACGATCCATGGCCACTCGAATCAACGGCCACGATCATCTCTCTAACGATCCTAGTGAAACAAAAGTAACCAATCACAAGTCACTTCACGAATACTCTGCCATCATTCTCAATTATAAATAGCTTATCTCACTAACTGCTTTAGTAACAAGTTTCAGGATAAACACAAACTCTTAAATATCTAACCTTTTCTAGAGACTTCGTGATGTCGTCAACCGGAGGTGATAAGGCGGACGTTGTCGTCGAGAAACCGGCGGCGGAGCAGGCCGTCGTGAAGGCTAAAACCCCGAAGGAGAAGAAGGCAAAAACTGCTAAAACCGCTTCTCATCCTCCTTATTTCCAGGTTTGTGATCCCTTTAATCTTATTCATTGCAGTTTTGCAGATTTACGTGATCATGATCCGTTCACACTTTCGCTTATCGATTAGTAGGAATCATTTGAATTATGTAATCGGTTTTGATCATGATCATAATCTTTAAAAGGTTTTATTTTGATTTCTAGGATTATTTCTATCATATTGATCGTTTCGAATCATATGATTCTTCCCACTAATATTGAGTTTTCATTACAGATGATCAAAGAGGCTCTGTTGGCTCTGAAAGAGAAGGGTGGATCTAGCCCCCACGCAATCGCAAAATACATGGAAGATAAGCACAAAGCAGTGCTACCGGAGAATTTCAAGAAGATGTTAACACTCCAGTTGAAGAATTCCGCTTCCAAAGGAAAGTTAACCAAAGTCAAGGCTTCATACAAGCTGTCTGAATCCGGCAAGAAAGAAAAGGCACTGGCGGCCGCCGGTGGCAAGAAGCCCACTGCTGCATCCAAAAAACCCAAGCAAACAAAGTCGAAAAAGCCTGCCGCCCCTGTAGCAAAAGCCACCGCCGCCACCACCACCACCGCTGCGCGACCAAAGAAGGCGACAAAAGCAACAAAAAAGGCTGCGGCGAAGAAACAAACCCCAGTGAAGAAGGCGAAGAAGATGACACCGGCAAAGGCGAAACAGCCAAAGTCTATAAAGTCCCCTGCTGCGAAGAAGGCTAGGAAAGCAGCTGTTTGATTTTGTGTTCGAATTTGGAGTTTATGTTTATAAAAAGTAGAAGTGGTAGTAGTAGTATATGTATATTTAAGTGTTTTAAGCGTTTTATGTTTGTGTTTATGTACGAAGTTCTATCTAACCTTCAATGGCGGTTTTTAATAGAAGTTATGAAATCAACTCTAGCCTAACAAGATGATCAAGAGGGTGTTTGGCATTGCTTTTTACAAAAAGTCAAAAAAATCTAAAACTTATTTGGAAGCTCTATAAAAAGATATTTTGAAGCAACTGACTATTTGTGACTTTTGAAACAAATAGAAAGGAAATTAAATTAATACCCTTAGACTTACCAATCCTTAAGCACTCCCCCACTCAACAACATTGTCCTTTTTAGCACTCCCCCACTCAACAACATTGTCCTTTTTCCCCTTAAAAGCTAATCTAAATATAATTTAAAAAACTTTTTTTATCAAAATTTATTTTTATCAAAAGTGTTTTTGCAAAAAGAACTTTTGAAACTAAAATATAATCCCAAACACCCTCCAAGTGCGAAAAGAGTCCTTTTCTTTGTATTATCAAACATATTTTGGCTTGTACAGAGAGCGTCATTTATAGGCAAGAATCCAAATGGTCTTTCCGATGTTTTTAGAATTTTTAGAAGAAATTTGGTTGAGAAAAGCACGTTTGGGTTGTTGCCACGTGGCTACGACTCGGGCGGTTTTATCAATTTGTGGCACAATACGTCGAGAAGCATGTTTGGCTCCTCACTGTAAAGACGGTTTGGCATATACTAGCCCAAGAATCCGGTATGCCTATAAATCAACCCAAAGAACCCCTCCTACTTAGATTTCTTTCTCTTTTTCTCCTATCCTTTTTCCCAACTCGGCAAAACTATCTCCATCTTTACAAGGTGGAGCTCGACAAAAACATAACTCCTAATCTTACAACATAAATTAAAGATTTAGGTCCCGGATTTGTATCATAATTTAGGCTAACTGAATACTAATTGCAACTTTCACATTAAATCCTATGGAACTATGGATTATTTTGGATCCAAATCCTTGATTTGTGTCCATAATTTAAGTTAAGGATTGTAATTTTCATAGCCATGAATTTATGCCAAACTTGCAAATACGATATTTATTTACTTGGAACGCAAACGCAAACAAGGAACGACGGAAAGCATCTAGCAAGCTACCTTGGCGGTCGCTGGGTGGCCTAGCTAGTACCAACACCAACTATCAAGCGACTATTGATGTTCAAATTATATCAAACTTTCTTTAATTTCAGCTCCCTTTCCTTGAGAATGTCCTTTTTGTTGAAAAATACAATTCAAACATTATAAGTACCAAATATCTTTGCATTTCACCAAAAATATATCTTAAATGTATTAAAATAATGTATAAATATGTGTAAATGTATTAAAATAATGCATAAATATGTGTATAACTATGACAATATCAAAATAGCCACACTTTCTTTTTGTTTTCTCTCAAGCAAAACTTATTTTAATACATCACACAGAACATCGCCCACCAATATCATATAAAACAATTCAAATTAAACTCACTAATTACGCATTACCTCTATGCATGTATTTGTGTTTAAAATATCCTAAATACTTCCAAAGCCCTAAATACCTACAATCCTCATAAATACTTCTCACTTATTTTGAATAAAATTCATTTTATTCATCATTCGGAATACATCCTCAGAAAACTTTCTTAACCTCAAGGTAATTTTTGGTTAAGTCTCCAATCATACATATGGTAAAATAACGTAGAAAGAAAAATTACAACTTTGAAAACTAGCATTTGGCTTTTGGTATTTTGCATTATTCTTCACTTTTTCAACTTGAATCTTTCGAAATTTGTAACTTTGAACTTTTCGTCATGATTCTTGATCTTCATACTTTATAAGTTTTTATTCACTCAACAAACTTTTTGCAACTTTTTTTTTCACAACTCACTTTTTTCATTTAAAATTAAAAGCCTAAAAAATGCTTAAGCAAGAGAACTTAACTTCAACCCTTATTGCTTAAATGTATTAGTGTAAAGTGCAATGACTACATAAATTTTCCTAGATTTCACTAGAACTGGGAAACCACAAATACACTATAACATATTGGCTCAACTAAATCTTAAAGTTCACAACAAATTATCCCATACAATACTAGCAAACTAGCACAAATGCAATAATATAATAACTTTAGTACTAGATTTTCAAAATTAGACTATTTTTGCAAGTCTATCTAATTAATTTTTTAAATTTCTAGAATTATTTCAATTTATAACTTTTATTATAGAAAATATTTTTTTGACCCCTACCCCACTTAGGTTGCCTCCTGAGAAGTGCTTCTTTTGATGGATTTGTGAGCCGGACTCCTTTCCGCTTTATGTTGTGCCGGTTGGTAGTGGAATCTCCATGTTCTCTTTCAGCTCGAATCGTTTCCTTTTGTATGCTGCAACCTGTCTCATGTATGCTTTCTTCGAGTTTTCTTTCTTTTTCGGGTTGTCACTAGGATCTTGCTTTTTCTTGACGCCTTGAGGTTGTTCATCCACCTTGATCTTCATTCTCCCCTTATCGGGTTCCTTGATATCCACATCCATCTTGACAAGTGTGGTCTCTCTGTTATCTTGTAACATCCCAAAATTCAAGACCAAAAATTTCATTTTTAATATAAGAAAAACACTTAATAACTTTGTCCAGACATTGAAAACATTTCAATTAAAATAAATATCAGAGTCTAATCCTAAAGATTACATAATGCGGAATAACATGGGTGAATGCGCTGCGATCGTCCCGAGCCGCTTTTCTTGAAAACTGGAGATACCTGAAACCAAAACTGTAAACCGTAAGCACGAAACTTAGTGAGTTCCTCAAATACCACATACCATACATATCTACTGAGCCATACATGCCATACATACTATGAACCATACATATCTATCATGTCCATAATCAAATAAGATGCTATGTGCCGCACATAGTCTTGCCGTTATGCCACGGGCCGCCACGTGGTCTTTCTTGCCAGGCCGGGGGCCACCCCCTGGGTCTTACAGACAAGTGCCGGGGGCCACCCCCTGGGTCTTACAGACAAGTGCCAGGAGCCACCTCCGAGTCTTCCATGCAAACAATCACAAAGACAACTAACATACATACTACTCTACTTATCAACTTAGCATACAGTGTGCCAGGACCACCTCTTGGTCTTTCATACATATTGCCTAGGGCTAACCCTCGGGTCTTCCTACCATACAAATAACATACTGTGTGCCAGGAGCCGCCCCCTGGTCTTTCATACATAATTCCTAGGGCTAACCCCCGGGTCTTCCTACCATACATAAACTAAATGGGCCGACATTGGTGCCTTAGACCCATACACACAGTGAGGAGACTAACCTTGCAATGTTGAACGCTGAACTTCACGGATAATCCTCTGGCTGCTAGCTGGCAGATCCCCGAATTGCTGATCTCTCGACTCCCCGAGCTATCATTACCAAAATAACACTTAGTCAAAATCCATAATCCATCTAGGGTAGAAGGACCATTTACTCCTGATCTAATTTGGTCCAGGTCAAAGGCCCAAAACCATACATGAAAGGCCCAACACTAGGTAGACTTCCTAAGCCCACTGGTGACCCACTAATGGCCTAATTTTCTAAATTGGGCCCAACCCTTCATGGAGTCACCCTTAGCAGCCATTCCATACTTCATAATCCTCTCGGGTCAACCTTGGTCAAAGTCAAAGTCAACGCTCCAAGTTGACCCAACTCGTCGAGTCTGACCTTCAACTCGTCGAGTTCCTAAAGATTATAGAATCGTGATTTTGCGTTTCAACTCGTTGAGTTTTCCTCCAACTCGCCGGGTTCTTTCCTTAAACAAAATCGGGACTTTCTCAGTGCAACTCGTCGAGTTTTCCCTTCGACTCGACGAGTTACTTCAACAGAATCGGGGCATTCTCATTTCAACTCGCGAGTCCATCCTTGAACTCGTTGAGTTCCTCAGTCTGTTAGCCCCTTCTTAGCTCATTAAGCCATTGTCCTTCAGATCTGAACCCTAAACTTCAGATCTCGACTAAAAATGCCTTTGGAAGGGTAAAGTTTCCAATTTTACCCCTTAATACCTTTTGTAGATGGATTAAGCTCAAACCCTAACCTAAAAAGGCCAAGGTCTTAACCCAAACATCACCAAAACCACAAAATATTCTGCAAGATTATAGATCTGGGCTCTAGGGCAAGATAATCACGTAAAGCTTCAAGCTTTATCCATATGCATGGCCATAAGAAGCCCCAAGGACCAAAATGGTGACTAAGAAGTTGCATGAGACTTCTATGGCCATAAAGTTGGCACATTTATGCCATGAAAGTCCTTCAAGACTCTAGATATGAAGTATTTTCCATTTGGGACATCCAACTCTCAAGAACCATATCACTTGGACCAAAAACAAGCCAACGATGCTAAGAAGGAGATCTAATAAACTATTAGTCAAGTTAGAGACTTGATTACAAGAATGTAACGAGAATAGAGTGAGGTTTCTGGATCTATATGCTCCTTCTTGTCCCTTCAAACTTTCCTTCCTTCCAAGGGCTTCAACCACCCACAAGAACACTCAAAAAGGCTCATAATCACTCACAATAGCATTAGGGTTTTGAAGTTCATGCTTAGGGATTTGGAGGCTGTGAATGAGGCCAGCCTTTAAAGATTAAGATGCTTATATAGGGTACAAAAGTCTGAAATTAGGGTTTCCCAAACCCAGCTCAACTCGTCGAGGTGGTCCCCTCAAACTCGTCGAGTTGATCTTCCAGAAACATGCGTTTCAAGCTTTCAACACGTCGATTTCCTTCCATTGGACTCAATGAGTAGGATTTCTAAATTGGTGTTTCCCTTTCTTTAATCGGCCTTCTAGATCACGGGTGTTACAAATCTCCCCCACTTATACTAGACTTCTTCCTCGAAGTTCGCTGCTGGTACCCCTGCCGAAAACACCTCACGCGCCTCGCCCATGGATCCCGCTATCTGTCCTGCACTACTGTTATCTCCATGAGTACTGACACATGCTCTCCTGAGTGTACAGCCATCACTCGCACAATCGACGGCCTTCCAAAGGCAAATAAACCCAACCATCAGGTCTCTTTTCTAAACCCTAGGAAAAGT